TCTGGTGATAATCGATATTTGCAGTTCGACTTGTGTTAGATGCGGGAGTGAAGATCGATGTTGTTCATGGCTACCCGATGTTCATTCACAAGAATGCACGAAAGGATTATCCATTAATATAACATTTATTGAGCGTACGCAACCACTAGAATGTTATAGTCGTTAAAACGTCACGAGCAATGAGGCAGTAATAATCGATTTAATTATAGTCACAAGACGAGAGCGTTGCTTCGTGCATAATTTGTGTGCATATGAGATACGGGGTGGGGTAGTTCAGCGTGTGAAGTGGTTAACTGCTGGCAGGATTTCCGGGGTTGTATTCTCGCCAGGAGTAGGAGATTTTTCCTTTCGTCACCACACAGCTACAGATGGGTTCTGTTCACTGGGTACAGAGGGGTTCTTTCCCGGAGTTGAAGTTCTTGGAGCATGAAGCAGACAACTCTGCTCGATGCAGTGCCGAGGTGTGAGTTGGTTGATGTCGCTTTTAGTTCCAAGGACCAACGCTACGTGCGTTCATGACGTAACGCGTATTTACAAGGACACGTGTACGGAACCTGAGACCAAACTATGCACTAGCCATTAGCTTGAGGGTAGAAAGAAATCCTATATGCACTGTATACTGTGTAAACTAAAGACGTTACTGACACTGGAACCGAGACAGCGAACTTTAGCAATACAAATTAGAATCATTTTGTAAAAAGTGTGAATTTGGTTAGTTTATTTGTTTATTTTGGTTATGTTTTAATTAAATGTTGATTTTTTTCATGTCCTAGACAAGAAAGCGATTTTATTTTTTGCGAGTATACTGTAATATAATTTAAGTCTGATAGACTTCTTGCTATCGTAATAAATTTTATCGAATATTATATAAATTGAAAAGTAATAAAATTTTTGATTGGAAAACCGAGTAATTCTTGTTGATATTGCCTCTGTGTGAAGCTCCTAACTGCGCATGTGCAACGGAGCAGGGGTTGTTCTATGGAGCGGATATTAAATTCAGCGAATATAAACATCCACTCTCCGACGTGATATAAACATTATCTAAAGCTACCGGTATATCGCGTTATGAAGCTGAAATCTTGTTCAGCTCTTTTACGGTTTCTGCTAATGTATGCGCTTATGATGTCGCATGACGCGCGTATATTTTAAAATGCTTTCAGATGTTTCTGGACGTTGAATAGATATGGCTGTGGAGGAGTGTGGACACGTCTGGTACAGACAGGCTGTTGAGACCAAGGTCATTTGCTCGCTTCACACATGTCAGCTTTTCCACTCGTTACAGGATTTGACTACACGTTTTTCTGTCTGCGAGTAGTGAAATGATCCATCATAATTCTTTGAAATGTTTTATTTACATACTGATATAATTCAGTACTTACACTTCCTGTTCGTGGATCCAGAAAAGAACATAATAGAACAGATTCATAACATGTTTAGTTTGTGGAAATGACGTACAACGCAAATACTGCGTCGCTGATGTACAACGAACCTCGTCTTCCAGAGAGTAAACACATTAACGAGGTGAAGTTTGTAAGGAGTGACTCCCACTTATCAGTATTTTCAACAGCTTTGTGTTGAAATAACGTAGTATTAAAGAAATTGGCTGGGATGCGACAGTCAAGTACCTTACACATTTAACAGTACTGTTACAAGTATATATGAATGTTAATTTAATTTTGAAATCTGAAGGACAGTATTTTATTATTATAGCCACGGTGGTCTAGCGGTTAGAACGCTGGCCTTGTAATCCTGTGGTCCCGGGTTCGATTCCCGGCGGTGCCCGAATTTATAACTTGTGTTGGGCAAGGCCGTGGTCTAGGCAACACGGAGTTTTCCTCCGGGGGCTTCCCCGGTTTCTCCGTGGCATCCCAACAATTACTTCACTCACACACAGAAGAAGGCAATGGCAAACCACTTCTGGATCATCTGCCAAGAACGTATATGAACAGGTCCCAGTCCGAGAAAAGGATGGAAGGATCCTGTTCATATGGACCTGTCGTCAGACAGAACAGTAATGGATTTGTACTTCTGTTACCGGCACCCTGCATGTAAGGGTAAAGGGATACGAGTCCTTAAAACGTAATGAAGTTCTACAAATTTGTGATAATGATTTTTTTATGGCTACCAGGCCTGTGTTTTACAATGTCCGTTGCCTGAGGTAGAAAGTTTTATGATATACACGCCATATACATGTCATTATATTGAAATTTGTATGTGTTTAATTTCGATATAATGGCGGTGATTGGTATCGAACCCCAGATCTTCTGAATACCAGGCTGGCATTGTACTCTAACCAGTAGAGCACAGTTGTGGCCCACCTGAAGAAGGGAGAGGAGCTCTGGTAGTGATTAGTGTATTCTTGTTTTTTTAAAATGAGTTTTCAGGAAACGAAACTCGGTTTTCGGAAAGTTCTCACAACTAAAGTTTAGGTCTGTTGACGTTTTTTAAACGCAGTCCACAAACTTAAGGCTTAAGTTTAAGCTTTTACTAAATTAAACGTAATATGAAGTATAAAGTAGTGGTCACATTTCGATTTTTGGACTTAATACCTCTTCATACTGGGAAAGGCAATATTTTCTCGCAGGTTAGAATAAATCGGTGGTCAACTAAACGAAGTCAGAATCTATATATAGAAAATACGCATACAAATAAGTGATTAAATTTCATATTTGAAGTTCTTGCAGCTTCGCCACGTAGAATGAAACATTTGAAAGACACTTGCCATCCGAAGTTCTTCCCAAGTCTTGCTAAATGATAAATTATATTTTTACGGCGTCTGCTATGAAGATGGATGTCTTCTGAGTTGTTGCGCCATGTATTGTGATAGAATTGAACCGACGTTTCAGAGGTACTTGCCACCTACGTTATCAGGGCTATTGAATACGGAGCCGGTAATCATCTCTGAATCGTCTGTGAATTTCTACCACATTACACGGGCAACAACCCAGAAGACAAGTCATCTTCATACTCCCCGCCTTCAGAACCCGATAGACACCTTGTCCATTTACAGTAGACATGTATGTATGTACACATACAAGAATCATAACTGGTTAGTTGATTTCAACATGGCTGCACGTATATTTAGTTTTGTGCCTTCCTTAAGCTTAGAATTTTCTCAACTTGAGATTTTATGTGTGCCTGCCGTAATGTGGTATTGTAAATTTTACTGTATGTTTCACAATATAATTTTGTCGCTGCATTATACAAGGGGCCACTATACCACGTACCCTTGAAACCCATTTATCTATACAGCCCTATGACTCCCGTATGTTCGTAAGCGCTAATAGGTACTACACTTTTAGGCGAAACGCTCCAAAAAAATACCCTTCTCGTACTTCAATATCATTGATGGAAGCCATCAAAGGCTTTGGCCTTCAAAATCAATTCCCGTCGCCAATTCAATTTCCTCTTCCACACATTTCTGCTACCTTTCATGTCGGTGAACAAGGACGGACGGACGGACGGACGGACGGACGGACGCTATGTCCTGTGTTGGATCTTGTATTGTTTGAGCCACCCTTAACTCCAATTTCTTCTGCATGATTGAACTAAAGTGGAGGAACTGGTTTGTGAGTCGGTATAGTTACTGGCATTGACTAACAGACGACTTTCAACATAGTATTTAAAATTTACTCATATAAATATGTTTTCAACTGTTCACCATGGACATAGAAGTTTGAAAAGTTTATTTATATATCTACTTATGTTTTCCATGGCGATTGGATTTTGCTTGCTTGCTGATTCGCCTGTGACTCATGGGAAGAACGCGCTCAAGTCCCGCCCACGTCAACAGAGCGCCGGCCGTTCACGCAATGCAAGCACGCCCCGAGTCTCATAAATTGTATACCCGGTAGTTAGTTAATTCTTATGTTTTCTATTCACTGAACGTACAATGCTTAGAGAAAACTAACCTTATGCGTTTTATTCACAGTCGGACCTCCGGCCTTTGTTAGAATTAATGCAGAAGTGCAATGTTTTTTTGAAACACAGACATCGTAACAGCGCTCAGTGAACAAGAATGTGCGAAATTTAACAGTTCTTAGTCGCCGTGGTTCAGCAACAGAACATCGCGATGTAGTAGTTGCTATGTGTGCCACTTATTCAGGATTTTCATTCAAGGGTTGAAATCTCAGCATCCAGATCGGCTATCTAGGCGGGATTTTCTTGGTATTCGTCGGTTCTTCCAGAGGTAGTACTGCATCGTTCTTCATATTTTCATATTTACTGTTCATAATCGTCTTATGATTCTTCTTCGACACTTTAGAAACAAGTTTTGAAGTTGACGTTATTAAATAAAGCAGTAAACAAAAGAAAGTAATGTAATTGGTGTTTTTAACTTTTTGTTTGCTTCGAACTTTATCTCTGCTGAATTCTGAGTGCAGTATATAAAATTTTAGAATCGAGTTATCACTTTTTCACTTATATGACGTAGTAAAATGATGGGAAATTATCTTTGATGCTTAATTAAGCACATGCCATGCATACGTAGGGGGAGTTGAAATATAGCTCGATGCTCTTTCAACCCTTGTATTTACTGGAGGAGGACGGTTACCTTGTCCCCCTTGATGTTTTAACCCTATGGTATGTCGCAGGAGTGAGAAAATCCTGTCCTGCCGGCAATTGAACCACGATCGTCCATCCCGTAGACTAGTCTTTGTATTGACTGAGCTATCCCAGCTCCATCGAGATCATAAGCATTTTTAATCCATTCATTATTCGAATCAGTCTTTAGTGACCCTGATTTAACAGTTTCGCGGTTAAAATATTTATTTTAAAGTGCATTTCACTGTTGTGTTGAAGTGGGACAAGACACTTCAGAATTGTGATATTTTTGATGTAATAGTGAATGGTGGGTGAGGAACTGATCGTGGCCTATTTAAAGGCACCCGATATTTTCTGGAAATGTTGAAGAAACCGGAAAGAAACTGTAGGAAAACCAATAAATAACATGACATGTTGCGATGTGCTCAGTGAATTATTGTTTTTATTCTTTATTTCAGGTGGGTGTCTGCAGTTCAAAGGTCACAGCGGCGAAGAGATTCAACCGGCTGTTTGAGAAAAACAGGTAGAGTGACCATGCGAATAGACAAACGATTTTCAGACGCATTCTCGTTTCTGCAGTGCGCCGTTAAAATATCTTCGGCCGTCCATGCACATCAGACAATATGAGAAAGGTTGAACGAATTTTCATGAAAATGTGCGAAATGTTTCTAAAATCTGTCGCTACATTTTTGCAAAATTGGACAATAACTGACAGTTTACGTGAAGACTTTCATGTGTCTGCGCTCCGAAGCGATTCGGTCGGGAGTTCCCTAGTCGTCATCGAAGGTCAGATTCTGGTGAACGCGATGTTCAGACGTGCTTAATAGCTAACCGAACATCTTTCTTGTTTGTGGTACCGAGCTGTCTGTTAACGGAGCGCGAAGCCAACCACAACGCCATATCGTGCCGAGATTAAGAATGAGTAGATCTTTAACTCCACACTTTTCGTGTTGTGATGTTAGGCGAAAATACTACTTTACGAAGGATGTTAACATTGCCATTATTCGAGTTATTGTGGTCCTGTTGCAGAGATATCGATTTTTTCGGATATCAGCCGTTGTAAACGTTTAATTGGTGTTACCAGAGATGAGCTGTACCGGGAGCAGGTGATAACATCGACCAGAATTTGGAAATGTTGAACGATTTTAAATGTGAAACTGACTATAAACACTGCATGTGATGTATTACATACCTCTCCAGTCTTTATTTAATAAATTGCTCTGACAGTGTGATTGTATGATTCCCAGTGGAATTGTGTTATGCAAAATAAGTTGCTGACTGAATTAGCCTACCTCTACGGTCAGGAAACGTATTGTAATGCATTTTGTTTTATTTTAATAGAAAACTTTTTTTAAATCAGAAAAAATCCTCTGCTGTTAAAGTTGATAGTTTTGTTTCCTGTTTCTGCAAACTTTTCGTCGCCTAACAAGCTCGCAGGCCTTTGAACTTGCTCGAGGTGTACAGTTCGCTAGTTAGACCTCGGATCACAACGGTAACTTTCATAGTCGATAAATGGACCACTTTTTTTTAAAAAAAAATGGTTACGGTATTTTTTTTTCCATTTTAATGACCGTCTAACGCTTTATCATAATATAGGCTCTGCTAAGTTATGTTGTTATTTTGTTTCCTATAGGCATAAAGGTGCGTCTGGGGAGTTGACTGTACTACCTTTTCAGGTGACAGTCATTCTGACAGATATTTTTAAAATATTTTTTTGGTGATTAATCTACTTAGTTGGTTCTGGGTTCGATCACTGCCGTCGCCTTTAAGGTTTCTTACATACTCCATCGAACCGAGTTCTTCCTGAGAAGCTAACAGTCGCTCAGCCACTCTATAAGTTCCCAACATTTTATGGAATCCAAAGGTTAATTACCGTGTTCACAAGAGCCCGCCACTGGTTTCTGTCATGAGCCAGATGAATCCAGTCCATACCGTCACATTATATTTATCTGATATCCATTTTAATATTATCCTCCCATCTACGTCTAAGTCTTCCTAGTGGTTTCTTTCCGTCTGGTTTTCCCACCAGAAATGTATATGCATTCTTCTTCTCTCCCATGCGGGCTACATACCCTGCCCATCTCTCATCCTCCTTCACTTAATCTAATTATATTTTGTGAGGAGTAAAACTTGTGAATCTCCTCATTATGCAACTTTCTCCAGCCTCGTAGCAGTTCACCCCTCTTACGTCAAAATATTGTCTTCAGCTCTCAGTTCTCAAACACTCTTTGTCTTACGTTCCTCCCTTAATGTCAGAGACCAAGTTTCACACCCATACAAAACTAGAGGCAAAATTATAGTCGCATCTAAGCTTGAAATAAACGATTCTGTACCATACCGACAATGCCCGAACTAGTATTAATACAAATTTTTTATTAGCAAAGTTTTATAACCACTGAACTATTATTTAACTGTTTTTGTACTGAATGAATACTTGGCCAGTGATGTTGTGTGTCCACGTACAATCGAATGACCTGTTGCTTTAGGTTTTCATAATTCAGTGGTCCGGGCGGATTGGACTGGTTGATTCTCAGTTGTTTGATTTACTTGCGTAGCCGACGGACACTCGCTTTATATTCGGTGTACAATAGAATGGCCGTCGTGTTAAACTGGCCCGTATTAATAGATGATGTGACTTTCCTAGCGTTGTAACCTGTACACGACTAGGTAGCCTATAGTTAGGCTTCCTGCACGCGATTCGAGGAAATACAGACGAAGTCAAATGCTTTAACTCCAAAACAACATAATTGATTTATTTGATACATTGGATTTGAGGCTCGCGTCAAAAGTTATCGTATAGTTTTGTTTTTGAGATTAGATTATTTAAAACCTCATTGATGAAATACGTTTTCTTCTAACATAGACTCAGTCATAGAAATGAGGGGTTTATTCCTGAGTATGTAGTATTTTTTATGTTAGGCTTCGTGGTTGTGATATTTTTTGGAGATTGAGAAATAATATTTTAATAATATAGCTGTACGTTTCAACATACGTATGGTAATAAATAATGAGTTTGTATTATCTCCCATTTTTCTAATATAATAATAATTCTCTTGAAAACCACTTAATAAACTTGAAGAAAGTCTTAAGGTGGTCTCTTTCCGTCTGGTTTGCCCACCAGAAAACTATATTAATTTTTCTTCTCTCCCATGCGGGCTACATACCCTGCCCATCTCATCCTCCTTCACTTGATCTAATTATATTTTGTGAGGAGGAAAACTTGTGAATCTCCTCATTATGCAACTTTCTCCAGCCTCGTAGCAATTCATCCCCCTTACGTCAAAATATTGTCTTCAGCACCCTGTTCTCAAACACTCTTTGTCTTACGTTCCTCCCTTAATGTCAGAGACCTACGTTCCTCCCTTAATTTCAGAGACCAAGTTTCACACCCATACAAAACTAGAGGCAAAATTATAGTCGCATCTAAGCTTGAAATAAACGATTCTGTACCATACCGACAATGCCCGAACTATTATTAATACAAATTTTTTATTAGAAAAGTTTTATAACCACTGAACTATTATTTAACTGTTTTTGTACTGAATGAATACTTGGCCAGTGATGTTGTGTGTCCACGTACAATCGAATGACCTGTTGCTTTAGGTTTTCATAATTCAGTGGTCCGGGCGGATTGGACTGGTTGATTCTCAGTTGTTTGATTTACTTGCGTAGCCGACGGACACTCGCTTTATATTCGGTGTACAATAGAATGGCCGTCGTGTTAAACTGGCCCGTATTAATAGATGATGTGACTTTCCTAGCGTTGTAACCTGTACACGACTAGGTAGCCTATAGTTAGGCTTCCTGCACGCGATTCGAGGAAATACAGACGAAGTCAAATGCTTTAACTCCAAAACAACATAATTGATTTATTTGATACATTGGATTTGAGGCTCGCGTCAAAAGTTATCGTATAGTTTTGTTTTTGAGATTAGATTATTTAAAACCTCATTGATGAAATAC